ATCTATCTATCTATCTATCTATCTATCTATCTATCTATCTATCTATCTATCTATCTATCTATCTATCTATCTATCTATCTATCTATCATGTCTTTTTTTCCCATTTGCAGCTATTATCCAGCAGGTGGCAGCAAATAGATATACTTTCATCAAAATACTGGAAAATGTGAAGGACCAAAAAATAATTATAATAAATAAAAAAATAATAAATAGAATAAAAATGAATCCAGATACCTCAGTCTAAAAGAAATAGGTAAATATGATGACTGTGCTACTGATACAACATTTCTGTTTCCTTTTAGGGTTTGTTTTTCTCCCACAGTGCAGCCTCAGATTTGGACTGGACTATCATTCACTTTATGCAACAACTGCTGGGATGAATTATTCATCTCATTGCACGGGTCATGCTGAACCCACACTTAATGCAGTGTTAGAGACAGTTTTACTCTTATGGTTCTGGTCACCCTGGCTTCAGTGGCTGTTGGAGGAACACGACTCAGCTTTAAACACAGCCTTGGGAGAGGTTTAGGCAATACAAGTGAACATCTAACAAATGAGATCAGAATGAAAAAACAAACTCTGCCAAGACAGTTCTCACTTTCAAAGCAATGTCTGACCAATTGAATAAAGTCTGTTAGGAATCTTTATCGCCATCAGGTGTTGATTTTCCATCTATCCATTATCCGTCATGCTTATCCCTTTTCGGGGTCACGAGGGGTGCTGGTGCCTATTTCCAGCTGTCTACGGGCGAGAGGTGGGGTCCACCCTGGACAGCTCGCCAGTCCATCACAGGGCAACACAGAGACAAACAGGACAAACAACCCTTCTTGCACACACTCACACTTGAGGACAATTTAGAGAACCCAATTAACGTAACAGTCATGTTTTTGGACTGTGGGAGGAAGCCGGAGTACCCTGAGAGAACCCACAGATTCTCAGGGAAAACATGCAAACTCCATACAGGAAGACCCCGGTCTGGGAATCATGCCGCAAACCTTCTTCCTGCAAGGCAGCAGTGCTACCCACTGTCCACTGAGCAGCCCAGTGTTGTTCTTGTCAACACCAAAATTGTTGGCTGATTCATGGCTGGTATTCGTCAGTGATTTCGGATCTATGGGCAAATGCAACCTGATGAAATAAGTTCAGTTTATAACAATTTCTATTTTGATCATTTAAACTTAAACATTAGGGCTGCACAGTGATGGAGTGGGTTGCTCTGTTGCCTAGCAGCAAGAAGGTTCTGGGTTTGAATCCTGGCCCTGGGTCTTTCTGCGTGGAGTTTGCATGTTCTCCCCGTTCATACGTTGGTTCTCCTGCTTCCTCCCACAGTCCAAAAATATGACTGTTAGGTTAATTGTCTTCTCTTAATTCTCCTTAAGTGTGTGTGTGTGCATGGTTGTGTCTGGTTGTACCCCGCCTATCACCCTTAGAATGCCGGAAATAGGCACCTGCCCCAGGAGTAAGCGGGATTGACGTGTTTATTTCTTTCAATTTAAATTATTATAACTGAAAACTAATGAAAACCCAAAATTTAGCATATCAAATTAGAATATCAAGAAAACGTTTATAATATTTAAGGAGCCTGGTTCCACTCCAATCAGTTAATTAACTTAAAACACATTGAAAGTCATTTAAAATGTACTGTTCTGTCAGGTAAACAAAGATGGGGGAAGACTGATGACTTGACCAATGACACCTTATGCAATGAGGGCAGGACATAAAAGACCATTGCTAAAGAGGCTGGCTGTTATTCTCAGAGCTCTGAGTTTAAGCACATTAATATAGAGGTGAAGGGAAAGAAAGATTTGGTAGAAAAAAAGCATACAAGCAACAAGGATAATTGCACCCTTGGGAGGACAGTAACCCATTCAAAAGGTAAGGAGGGATTTACAAAGTGTGGACTCCAGGTGGAGTCAGTGCTTCAAGGACGACTGCATGGTAAGACATGGGTTTCAGCTGTTGCATTCTTTTTGTCCAGCCCCTCTTGAGCAAGAGACATCAGAAGCTTTCTGTTTTGGCTAACAGACAGCAACTGAGTGGTCCAAAGTTATGCTTTCCAGAGAAAGTAAATATTGCTTTTTCATTGGAAATGAAGGACCCAGAGTCTGGAGGAAGATAGAAGAGGCAGAGAAGCCATGTGGCTTGATGTCTAGAGTTTCCACAACTAGTGATGGTTTAGTGTCCCATACCATCTCCTGGTGTTGGTCCAGTGGGTTTTCTGTTGTCCAAGGGGAATTTTTCAGAGCATTCCATGCTTCATGCACCATCTTTAATGAGATACAGATTTTATTTCAATGTCATTTGATTCTTCCACCTGTTCTGTGGATCTGTTACTAATCTTCACTAGCAAACTTTGGAAGCCTTTACAGAACTGCTCTTTTTAATATAAAAATAGATGACACATAGGCAAATTCTTCCACTGGTTTTTATTCCAAAAACATGATAACCACCATGTCTGGCTTTCTTTACAATTATACACTGTTTAGTGTCATATCAGATCAAATTAAATTAAAATAGATCAAAGCTGCAGCTGTAATGTGGCACAATGGAAAGATCCTCAAAGGGTAAAGAAGCCTTTTTTGGCACTTTGTTTGAACCCGTGGTTCCTGGCAGCATCCACTGGACTTTTGATGACTATGTGGTCATTCTGGTGTGCTCAGTGTTACCATTTTTGGAGAAAAAAAATCACAACTAAGAATTAAGATATTCTAAGTATCACAAGTTGATAATCATGGGTTTTGTTTTATGTTTTTTTTTATATGGCAATACTTTTCTTTTACTCATGCACAAGTGAATTTACTTTAGATTTATTGTGTGTGCTGACTAAATTTGTTTTGCACGTTTCTTCCCACCAGCGTTACCATAATTGCTGTCTGGTGACTCATGACTTTATTCTTTGCCACAGTTCAGGGCATCTGCTGTGAAGTTTAACAATCTTCAACAGATGTTGAAGGTGCATCTTGCATCAGACAGCGGTGATTAAGAGTGCTAACCACATTTATGGGTTTTTATGCAGCTTTTCTGCAGGGCTCTGCAAAAACAACCCAAAAGAAAGAAAAAAAAACGGATCCCAACAAACACAAATGTTATGGTTGGTTGTAGATTTTCAACAATATAACCCAAAACAGCAAATGTACTGGTCAGTTAAGGTGACCAGATCTCCCTTTTGAGACATTTATAGAAACTTTTGATGATGCTGAAGGCTTTTTCACTTACAGTAGAGGAGGTTGTGGGAAAGCGGGCAATAAACACACTCTTAAAGCTTTAATTCGTTTTTTAAAAAAAAGGAAAAAACACTTTCTGAAACCGGAGTCTTTTATTCTTATTTTCTGGCATCTAAAAACCAAATGCAATTGTAAATGGGAATGAGTCATAACAACTATATAAAACAAAGACCTTTTTACTTCTGTAGCTATTTTATAATTGAGGATAAGCAAAGTTATTTCAACCCACAGGCTCCAAAGTCTGTAAAATATGTACACAATTTAAAAACATTTAAACATGGGTTACCTGCAAAATAAATAACTGGGAATTTCTTTTTTTATTTATTGTTGGCAATATCCATGTCTGATGTCATTACTTAGATTTTTCCCCAGGATCTCTGTGGAGAATCCACAGCTTTGTTTCACCATGTGTCAGCCAGTTGACTCCAGACTGAAAGACCCCCTTCACCATGAACTCTTCTGACTCATGCAGTTCTTTCTGAGAAAACAAAAAACATATGTACTGGACATCCATATGGGTGTTTTCCCTATCTATGTCTCTGAGGAAAATAAGCTGAAGCTCCATGTTTGTGCTGATCATGAACATTTTTAAAAAGATGACTTGGTTAGGATAAAATGTTTTTTTTTTTTAAATCCTTTGTTGTCAATGTATGATGTGGGTTTGATATAAATGCTCCACATAAACTAAAATGGCAGCCAGTCCTGAAACACAAATGGTCATTTTCTAGTCAGAGTCAATCAGTGATCAGTTTCTGGTATGCAAAATTACTCCACTTTTACAGTTAATAATTTAAAGTTATTTACCACAATTCACTCCTAATTTACTGTTAAAGAAATATTTTTCTCTGAAAAACAATGCACAGTTTAATAAAATCCCACATAAAACTTTTTTTATTAGTTACTTGTGAAAAATTCCCATTTAGGAAACGAAACAGGCATGGAACGATTAAATACAAGAACAGAAAATGTTGTTTTTTTTCCTTTTTGGTACAAGAAAGAAGGAGCTTAGGTTACAGAGCAGGGGCTACAAAACCATGACACAGCATTTTCCTAACACGACCAAGCATTTACATTTTTCCCCTCAAAAGCCATTGCTGCTTTCCAAGGTGTATCAATGTTGCTGATCATTCTTTTAAAATAATTGGACAGCAGTCATCAGATACTAATATTGCTGCAGTCAATGCGTCTAAGATTCTTAATCCTTAGTATTAGTGTGTGGTTAAACTAGCATTAGTTCAAAAATGTCTTTCTCCTTCCATTTCTAGGAGATGTTGTTAGTCTGTGCTGTACTGCTCTAGATTTTTCTTGCTGTAGTTCTCTGATTTCTATTCTGCTCACAGTATAGTTTCTTCTGCTGCCAAACAAAATGGAGAGAGATGATTCTTTGTGATACCAGAATGAGTTTCACTATATAGAACAGAGTACAAAATATTCTTATCCAAAGTTTGATTTTTGTGTGTGTCAGGCTGGATAATTAGATTCCAGGTACATGGCCCAGCATGACTCAGAGGTGGAGTCTTTCCCAGGCCTGAATGTGTGTCCCAGAGGATCAGAG